TTTAGACTTCAAGTTGTAATTCTTTGATTAACTTTCTTAATTTAATTTGAAATGTAAGAATTTTAATAGAAGTATTCCCCTTTAATTATATGCATATATACTCTTTTGGAAAAAAATCGAAGCACCAAGGACTTTTGCAATCGTGACGAAATTTGGTATGCAAAAACATCTTGATCGGACATGAAAATGATCAAAGTTTCAAGGCAAATGAACAGGAATAGCGTGCATTTCTATTGCGCAATTCGCAAAGTATAAAACCAGAAACAGAGGCGAAAAATGGATCTTTTTTCTTTCTTTTTTCTTTCTTTTTTTTTTTTTGTTGTTGCTGCCATTGTAATTTCATGAAGAAGCAACTAAAGATGACATTACGACGATACTGAAAACCTTACAGACAACTAAACGACTTCGAACGTACTCGCATTGTAAGGTTGCGTGAAGCTGGGTGGTCATACCGAGCAATAGGCCGTCACCTGCAGCGTACAAACGCTGCTGTGCAAAGATGATGGCAGCAATGGTTGCTACAAGGAAATTGCCGACGAAATAAAGGCTCTGGAAGGCCAAGGAGCACAAATGCGAGGCAGGATTGTTTGCCAGGCCCAAACCGCCTTCACGGTAGCAATGTCGACAAGTCAACGCACTACAGTTACGTCTATACCTCCCGTGGTACCGTCCACCATCTCGCGGCGCTTGTCTGAGGCAGGGTTACGCTTACAGAAACCTATAAGACATTTGCCTTTGACCCCACAACATCGATGGATTCATCTGGAGTGGTGTCGCAGCCGATCATCATGGTTGCTATCAGACTGGCACCGTATAGTGTTCAGCGATGAATCCCGCTTCACTCTTGAAGCAGATGACAACCATGTTCGTGTCTGGAGAGGACTAGGCCAGCGGTCTCAATCAGCCTTTGTTTTTACAAAGGCATAAAGCCATAACCTCTGGTGTGATGGTGTAGGGGCTATTTCTTATGACAGCAGGTCATCTTTAGTCATCCTCTGTACATATTTAACAGCTCAACGATATGTTGATACCATCCTGCGGCCGGTTGCATTACCCTTCATGGCACGTCATCCTGGGGCCATTTTCCAACAAGATAATGCCAGCCACATACCGCTCGCATATCTCTGGACTGCTTCCGTGCGGTTGATACTCTTGCTTGGCCACCAAGGTCACCACACCTTTCACCAATTCAGCATGTTTGGGACATAGTAGGCCGCCAGATTCTGGCACCACAAAATATCGCAGATCTGGAACACAATTGATGAACGCCTTGGCAGTGTCGCAGGATGACATTAGGAACCTCTACCACTCCTTTCCTCGACGAACTGAAACATGCACTGCAGCCTGGGGCGGTTCGACCAACTACTAATTTGAAGACAATGGGTGATTGTAAGCCGTGAACAGGTACTATGACCTTGATTTTTTAATCATTTTATTATCTGTGTATGAGCTATCCATATATTCAGTTTCATCAAAAACAACCACTTCCTTCATTGTGCTTCGATTTTTTTGCAAAAGAGTGTATATACATTTACTGCAATAGAAATCTAAATAATACTTACAAATAAATAATACTTACACTTAAAATACTGACTCAAATTTATTCCAGTAATTCATCGCAAAAATTAAATTTATATTACTTGGAGATAATATGTAAAAAAAATGTTTTCTAATAATAAATTAAATACATATACAGGATGGTTATAATTAAAGTTCCACTTTGGAATGTTCATAAAAGGAAAATACTGGACCAAATGTTATCAAACTTGGTAATGGTGTAAAGGAGGTCATGGGAATTTATTTGCCTCGAAAAGAAAAGTTCAAAAACTCACCACCAGGGAAGAAATGGCTCTATATGCACTATTATTAAACGAAATCAGGGTCGGAATCAAACTTAGCCTTTTGTTACGTGGGTTTAAGATGTTGTATACCCTTAAAAAACACTGACCTAAACAAAATTACCAATTAAAGGCGATAAAAGTCGAGTGCACCATCCGTGTAACGGAGAACTTCCGTGAAAACCAAAAACTAGCAATTAGAAAATGTGAGATGGCTGTTGCCAACGACAGGCGTAATCTAGCGTTCCTTCACGAGAAATTTCGTGGGCTTGGGCTGACTACGTCAGAAAAGTGAGCATAAGCAGCAACAAAAACAACAAATGTGAGATCGCAAACCACTCGCAAAAGTGTGCGCATTCCGGAAATCGTTTTCTTACAAATCTCCAATTTGTGATTTTTGAAGCTTGAATCAGGCCCTAAGACATGAAGATTTCGGTTTAAAATGTTTTCCATCATTTCTAACGCAAAGCTGTTTGTGGGGTGAGGCAAAACCGCAATGGCTTGTAATTGGCTTACAGCAGGTTGATTTATGCAAATATCAAATACTTTATGCAAATAATCTAAACAATTTGGCTTAATTGAAAGATGCGATACACCGACATGTCCGTAACATTTCTCCCGATATGCTATTCAGAATGCAGTTATACGATTTAATTTACTTTCAAAAAATGGTAGATGTCACACTAAGCATGCTTTATAACACGTTTCAGAAACGATTAAAACAAATTTTAAACCGATGTCTTCGCGTCTTATTACGTTTAACAATATTGCATACAGCGCCATTTCCCTCCTGGTGGTGTGTTTTTAATTTTTTTTCTTTTTTTGCGGAAAATGAATTCCCATGATCTCCTTTACAAGATTACAAAGTTTGATAACATCTGGTCCAGTAGTTTTCCTTTTATGACAATTTTAAAGTGGAACTTTAATCATAACCATCCTGTATATTTATATAGCCACTTTGTTACACGGCTAGGTGAATCCAGTTTCTTTATTCTTATATATTGTAAATTGTGCATTTTTTGCTTTAAAAATTATTGAATTATGGTGTTCTTATGTTCTGGTTAAGGTTTTTATGCCTTTAGTTAATCTGCATGCAATAGTTGTAGAATTATCAACAATTTAAAAGTCTAGTGAGGCCGCCATTTATTTACATTTGAAACTCTTAGCAGAATAATGAATTAATTCAGTTGGTGCACCAGTTTCAAGTCGCGGTGAGGGCATTGCACATTTTTCACATCTCTTCCAACCCCCCCCCTAAAAAAACTAATGACTCTACAGAGGCGCTGAACTAAAAGAAGGTAGGCAATAATTCGTCACCACCAGGATTAGGCAATTGTGTCTCCTTATTACTTGTCACCTTTTAAAAGGGAAAGTATATAAGGTATTTTCTACCTCCTTCCAGCTGTAACGGTAGCACACTCAGCGCATATTCGAGAGGTCCAGGATTCGAGTCCTGGCGATGGCACCGCATATTTTTCCCATCTCCAGCATAAAAAAAATCTAATGACTCTACAACAGAATTATGATTATTAAAAAAAATGTAAGTGTACTGTTTTCATTCGACAATTAAATCAGCATTATTACTTTCCAGTCTGAAATTTTTAATAGTTTGGCCATTTCGCTGATACAATTTTAGTGGATTTTTATTATTTTATTTAAATTTTCTTTTCATTTCTTAAAAATCTTCAAAAAATACCAGCTCATCTATAGCTCCCAAAATTGTTATCACTAAGTCAGGTAAACCAGGTTACGTAAAAGCATTCAGAAGAGTGTTCAGAACTTTTATTTAATGATACTGACTTGAAAATTTCATAAACTTGAAAATCAACTAACCTTTACATAAATTTTTATAAATTTATGCTAACTGTACAAATGTTTACCTTCAATCACAGATGACTGAAGCTAAACACCTTTACAAACCGATCTGAAAGATAAGATGATTGTATTCTTTATTACAGCCTTAGTAAGAATCAAATTACACTAATATTAAATTAGATATATCAATATAACTTTAAAACAATCAAACTGTTCTCTTTTAAAGGTATTCATAGCAAAATTATGAGATTTTTAATTTATTTATTTCACATAGGTAGAATTAACATTTTAGCTTCATTAATTTATGCTGGAAATTTATGAGGAACCGCTCATAAATGCCCCATTATGAGAAATCCTTGAGATCTACATGGCATGTTCAATAAAAGTTTTATAATGCATATGTAGCAAGACATTTCAGGAGTTAATGAACAGGACACCTCAGCATGTGTTATTTAAGAAGTATGTATCTGAAAATCAAGTAAACTGCAGCCCAGACAAACAGACTTTTATTTACGTTTAAAACCTGTATCACTTTATCAGAAATCACTCACATACATGAACTTATGATGATTAAAACTAACACAGCTTACATTATAATGGGATTTACATCTAACAGTGTGAGAGGAGAAGAGAAATTGTTTCAAGAAACATACTTCTCCTACTACTGTAGGGTTCTCCTAGCTGAAACATGTTTCACTAATTCCATGAGGATTTTGAAATTGAAGTAAAAATGTTCCGCTTGAAGCTTTGTCCCTCATTCGATTTCCCCAAAGAACTAAAAGAATAAGTCAAAGAACCGGATAATAGGAAAGCAAATATTATGAGAACTTTCTCTTTCAAGCCATTAATTAAGGGTAGCTCATAGGCATGATACCAGCTTAACACACAGCATAACCATGCTGAATCCATAATAAAAAAGGAGCACAAATACAGCTCTCCAAACCCGAAATATGCACTCATTCAGCACCCTATATACATGATTTATAAATTTGACACTACTTTGTAAAGCAGCTGAAAAATTACTTAGTTTATCCTGCATCTGTATTTTTTAATCTTTAATTGTTTTTTCCAAAGATATTAAATGCAAAATTTTTATATTTAATAATTAAAAATAAGTTAATGTTTGCCTATTAACTTTTAAAGGATCATATACTATAAAATTTTCAGCATTAATAAGTGGTATGTTTGAGCGCAATACATAAATATTTCAAAATGGTAAAATAATGAAAAATAGAACATAATGAAATGTATATTTTATATATTATGGAAGAAAAGTATCTCAGATAGGGCACTTTGTAAAGGATATAAAATGCATTGTTAAAAAAGATAGAGTAATAAACAAGAGACTAAATTAGAATTGGCTTCAACGTAACCAGTTTTATTTGCAACTTACAGGCTCAAACATTTAAAAAAGGCCCTTAAAATCAATAGTTCTTATTTCACAATAAATTAACTATCCTTTCTATATTTTATTCAGATAAGCAGTTGTTTGAGAGATTACAACTATTTTCTCAATATACAGAAAAGAAAGCCAAAACACAAGTTTCAAAACATCTGCTTTAGCATCTATATAAACTAAAACAGAATTAACACTGACTATTTAAAAAACAGTAGAACTTATATAAATTTGTAATAACAATCCATTAAAATCAAGTTCAAACACTAATAAATAATGCTAAAAACTCGATCAACAATACAAAACATTCCAAAAATTTCTTGAACATATTCATCCTAATATGAAGATAATAATGCTCAACTTGTTTCATTCTTGCAGAATATTTGTATAAAATGCTATTAAACTTACAATTTCAAGTCATAAAATAAAGTATGTATATTATATACACCTCTCTTAAACCAATCTTATGTGAAAAAAATTTCCAAACACAAAATTTTAAATTCGCCAAAAACTTAAACATATTTATAATAAACACAAATTTCCAATAAAGTATAGCTCATTCTTTTTCAAAAAAATTTAGAAGTGATAAAAATAACTTTGCAGTTTGCTTATGTTTTAGAAAAACAGAAATTAGATAAGGAAGACACATAAAAGTAGTGTTATAGTACAGATACCAAATAATGTTTTAGAAATATTTTATTAAACGAATCGAAGCACTGCAAAGTTGCTTCTTCAGATGGTATCAATAGATTATTTTCTAAAATACTTCATTAAAACAAAATCACATGACTAATTATTGAAAATCTAGCAAGAAAATCAATCTTTCAATTTTTTTAAATGTATATTAAATCAAAATCTCGCGAATAAATTTCAGTTTCATTAAAGCCAATCAATTTTGAAAAAAAAAAAAAAAAAAAAAAAAAAAAAAAAAAAACTGCTTACCTACCGTGATTGCTTATTCTATACATTGCATTAGACTTGAATAAGAACAAAATTTCAAGTCTAACTAAAAACAAATGTTGAGTAAAAAAATTTTGTAATGACTCCATAGTTTAATATTAGGTAAGACTAGAATTTAATTATATGACACATTCACATTTGTACATATAAGCAAAGCATAATACAACACGCATTTAGCAAAGGAAATTTTCCAACAATTTTTTTAATTTAATTTTGAAACTTAATACATGATTTTGATTAATCATGTCCATGCTTTAAAAATATAATTTTCCAAAATAATTTACAACTTTTTATTTTAAAAAAAGGATCAATACAAAAATCGCACATTTACATCTAATAAGAATTTATTCAACAATGAAAAATGAATAAAACCTTAGAAGATATTTCCAACTTTTAACTATACAAAAAAATTGCACTAAATAAAACATATTAAGCGTGAAAAATAAATTCCAGCAATAAATTTAACACAGTCATATTAAACTACTAAAAATATTCAAAGCTTGATAATTAGTTATTTTTATAAGGAGCTCAATCCTTTACAAGAACATAGCAGCTCTAAAGAGGGTGAAGTTCCCACATTGGAACCTATAAACTTCAAAATGTCCTTTGATTGCATAGTGTCAGTAAAATCTTTTTTACTCTATCTCTTTGTATTAACATGCATAACAATGTTTGAATTAGAATCAAATTCAACAGTTCATCACATTTTGATCATTAAAGAAACTGGTATGTTATGTACAAATTTGAAGCACACTCTGCATTCAGGCAGAATTTTACAAGTACAGTGCATTTTTGACTACAACTTACTCTACAATATACATATATATTTACAAGTTACAGAGCAGGAGACTGCAATAAAAATATAGCTTATTTTTTTTTTTTTTTTTTTTTGTTATCGTCCATTGGAATACACGTGACTTTACAGTTCCAACATTAGGGAATTGTTAAGTTAGATAAAAAGATTAAATGTTAACGATTTGATTCATCTCTCTTTTCTTCTTCATCCTTTCGCAAACTTTTTTTCCTTGGTTCTTCTACTTCTTCATGGCCATTTTTAAGAGTATTACTAGCCCATGAGACAGAACTTTGAAGTTTGCGTTTTTGTGCATTTATAGTACTCCTTAGAGGATTGTAATCAAAATTATGCTTCCATTTTTTCTTTCGATCAAATACTTCATCAATAAAGTCATATGGTGACGGTACATTGATCACTTTTGGTTGAGAAATTAGAGATAGTTCAGCCGTAGAAAGACGAGGAGCATCAGGAAGAACACTAAAATAAAATTTTAGACAGAAAGATCAGTTTAAATAAGTTAATATGTAAAATCACAACAGAATTAGCAGCTATGAAAAAGTATGCAGTAATTTTACAGCAATATTAATCTACTTCAGATGAAAATGATTATATTTTTTTAAGAATAAAATCAATAGTGCAAATATAAATTTAAAATTCATAAGAATACGCAGTTATTTCTGAATTAGATCCTCATCAGTATCTATATTCAAGTAAATGAATCAGAGGCAAGTTGAATCCGCGAGAACGTGCATTGAGCCTTACAGGCTGGGCAAATATTCAATGGGTTGAGAAACCTCTCCCCTTTCGTGGAAATGGTTGAGTCTACCAGTACCTGCTTCCAAAGTCACCCCCTTTCCATTGTGTAGAAGGTCATATTTCTCGAACCTGTCTTTAGCTAGGAACTGAACCTCCGGGCCTGAAATACCCAACGCGCGTTCTTGCATTCGTGTTTTTTTTTTTTTTTTTTTTTTTTTTTAAATAGCGCTTGCATTAGAATTTAAAAGATGTATCATTATTAGAGCTATAAAGATGAAATGAAATGGCTTCAAATATTACTTGCCAAAGTATCAACAGATGAAGAATCAATAAATGGAGATGATGATGAAGAAAGCATCGATGAAGAGCAATTGAGTGCTCATGAAACTTCATCGGAAGATGAATTTGATTCAGATAATGAAAGAGATGCATCCAGTTTAGGAGAATTTTATACGGGAAAGATGGGATTACAAAATGGAATGAAAAAAAAGGCGAAACAAAATATAAGAACACTTTCGCATAATATTATCACTAAATTACCTGGAAATGTTGGTGATGCCAGAACTGTATCGTCCCCTACAGACTCTTGGTTACTACTGTTCGATAATACCATATAAGAGTGCATTGTTGATTGCACGAACATTTATATGGACAAGATTGCGGATAATTTTCATAGATACCATGACTGCAAAAAAATTAATTTAATCAAAATAAAAGCTTTTATCGGTCTTCTTTATCTTTGTGGAGTGCATAAATCTTCCCATGTTAATGTGAAAGATATTTGGGCCTACTGATGGCACAGGACTGGAAATATTCCACCAGACTATGTATTATAAGAGATTTTTATTTCTGTTACGTTGTCTAAGATTCGATGTTACGTTGTCTAAGATTGTATGAATAGGAAAGAACTTGATAAACTTGCTCCTGTAAGATCTGTGTTTGATTTATTTGTAAATAACTGTAAGAAGTTATACAGGCTTGGTGAGTATGTCACCGTCGATAAAACCTTTTGGAGGCAATATATTCCCAGTAAGCCTGCAAAGTGCGGTATTAAAATGTTTGCTCTAGTTGATTCGCGGACCTTTTATACCTGGAATTTAGAAATATATGCAGGGATGCAAACTGAATGTCCCTACAAACTGGAAAACAGTGCAGACAAAGTTGTTATGAGACTTGTCGCACTTATTTTCAACACAGGAAGAAACCTCATTGTTGATAACTGGTATACGAGTGTTGGTCTAGCTGAAGACCATCTAGGTAAAAAAATTACTCTTGTTGGAACAATAAGAAAAAAATAAAAGAGAAATACCGAAGGCATTCACATGCTCCAGAAAACAAGAATTGCATTCATCGCTCTTCGGATTTCAGAAATATATGACTTTAGTGTCATGTACTCCCAAAAAGAATAAATGTGTGCTTTTATTATCAACTATGCATAATGATGATGCTATAGATCCTTCATCTGCTGATGCCTTACTTTTTATAACCTGACGAAAGGTGTAGTGGATGTAGTAGACGAAATGTCAGTATTATATTCTACAGCTAGAATAGCAATAGATGGCCATTGGTCGTAATTTTTAGTATGTTAAATACAGCTGCTATCAACGCTTGCATCCTGTTATTGTCAACCGATAAACCTGAAGAAAAGTACCATAAAAGGAGGCTCTTTTTGAAGGATCTTGTGTTAAAACTTCTAAAGGAGCACAATGAAAACAGAAGAATCCAATCTAATATTTCCAGGAGTTTGCAAATGGAATTAAAAAGAACATAGCCTGAACAAGTTGAAGACCCTTCTTATAAAAAATTAAAAGCTGCTGCAAGGAAAAGATGCCATTTATGTCCTGCTGTGAAGGGCAGAAAATCTAAAACATCATGCACAAAATGTGAAAAAATGTTTGCGGTGAGCATAACTCCATAATGTGTAATATGTGCCAATAAATATATACCAGCATCAAGTTGTAGCTTCATATGTGAATATTGTTTCAGTATTAAAAGTTTAAATGCATTAATTCAATTATTTAGTTACCTTCTTCAACTATTCAATTATCTTACCTTATTCTGCTTTCTAATTCAATATTATATGTGATGTAAAGATTTAACAAGATTTTTCTAGATATTAATTCATAGTTTTCAATTATATAACTTCTCTTGATTTTTATGAATCATGGTATAAAAAATATACTGCTGATTCAATAATAAGTCGCATGAATTAAAGAAAACTGCGCACGGGCCAATTTGACCCAACGTGTTCTCGCGTTACTATTAGGACGTGCATGCTGCCGGGTTAAATTTTTAATACTCTGGAAGATATGGAATGTAAGTTTGATATTTCCAACACCTCTGTCTCTCTTTAAAAGACAGTGCAAAACATGACAAAGAATATGCAACTAGATGGAAAAAGAAGAAACAAAAATTTGGCATTGTGTTGATGATATTTCAACTTTTGTACTAATTTGTTCTCAAATCTAATTATAAACATACTTAAAAATACATGTAAATTAATTAATTTTTTTTTTACTTATTTTATTTAAATTACAGACATATGCATGAGGGGAAAAGAAAAGAAAAGAAAAAGGGACAGGGATAATTAATTTGTAACTTTATATCACAAATACACGTGTGGCATTAACTGCACATTTTGTAAGAACAAATTCTAAAACATGTATTTTTCCTATTTAGCATCCAGGCATGAAAATGAAAGTAATAAATTAAAAATTCATGGCTTCTGGGCAAATTACCTTTCTTACAATACTGACTCTAGTTTGTTCAGTTTAATAATCATAAGAAAGAATCCATTTAATTATCCAATAACTGTAGAAAAAGAAAGATTCCTTTATTGCAAAAGCAATGGAAATAGAAAGAATTTCCAATAATGAAAAAAGTACTTAATAGCATTGCATTTAGCCCCCCTGCTGATGAAGTTTAGTTGCAATGTAGAAACGTTAGGAGTTTTTAGAAGCTAGACAAGATGAAAATTAGCGACCGCCTTCTCCGGGAATCAAACCGCGTACCTCTGGAATACCGGCCCAGCGTGCAGAACCACTACACCACGAAGGCAGGAGAAATACCTTATAGGAATACCTAAAAGTCAGATGGATGCAATAAGTCCTATTTCCAATGATATTTAAAGAAACTTACAAAATTTTAGAAGGTGCACATCTATGAACTCGATTAAGTCAAACCGCTTCAAAATGAAGTATTAAGAAATAACAGATATTCCATAACAGTGGTTCTCAGTTTTCCCTTCCATTTTCATCTAATTTAGAATGCCATTCATCTTTCTAAGACTTGTTGACTTTAAAACACTTTTTAAGTAACACATAAAATTTAGTGTGTTATTTTAATATTTAAGTATGTTAAGTATATTATGTAATTTAAGTAAGTTATTTTAATACACTGCAAAGTTACACATAAATTTACTTCAATTCAGATTTGACAAAATTTTAAAAATAAAAAAATATTAAATTTGTAAATACCATTTTAAATTAAATTTCAAATAAGTTACTTAATGTACAAAATGCTCCAAAGACTACAATATTTTAAAACTCAGTTTTCAGAAAAAGTCAATAACATCTGAACTCATTTCTCTCTAAATCCAAACTAGTATTATCACCAAGTTTGGGAAAATATCAACTGAATTCATCTCCAGTAAATACTGCTAATTTTTCTTATTGTGGAAGCACTTGTTTATTTCTATTCAAATCGATAACTCCCAACAGTTCCTCAAACATTGAGAATTTTACTATTGACCTTTCTATTCCAATTTTTTAGTTTACTGATGAAGGAATCAATGAATTTATCCTTTCCTTGCATATGAAGCTTCAGTTTATACAGCTGCTCAAAAGTGTCAAACAAGCAGGAGAAGTGCATAATTCCCTTTCATCTTCTAAACAGAAAAAAAAATTCCACTTTCACTTCAAAAGAATAGTTCGAGTTGATTTGCTAGTTCCCACAATGAACAATCACATTTCTCTTGAAAACAAAAAAATCTAATCATAAGGTTGTGGAAGCTTTTTATGCCATCATAAGGTTATGAAAGTCTTCTTATGTCACTTAAAATAGCAAAGGAGAAAAATCTATACACAATTTGGAAAATTTGGATCAGATTAGACATTCTCAGAATTGTAGAAATTGTTTTCAGATATGGACTGGAATTAAACAAAAACTGGACAGCAATTTCATTATCAAACAGTAATATTTAAAGACAGTGATATGACTATTTATACTAAGGTTTTAAGTCATACAGGAGATCATGTTTGCAGCAAATGGTTTATTTTCATTTCAGTTTGATCAGTGAATTCATGTAAATCATGTTCCTCAACTGCTCATGTTTGCTAAGTATGTTCTTTCATGTTATAAGGTATTTCTCCCACTTCCCTACACTTCCCTAGCGAGCCTTCATGGTTCAGTGATTCTGTACACTGGGCCAGTATTCCAGAGATCCGTGGTTCAATTTCCGGCAAAGACGGTTGCTAATTTTTCATCTTTTCTGCTTCCAATTAACCTAATGACTCTACAATGTTCATTAAAAAAAAAGAGTTCATATTTTTGTTCACTCTTGGAAACTACTGACAGAGCTTAAGATATTTTTAAAAAGTTTCCAAAATCTGGATTTCACACTTGCATAAAATAACAATTTTCATGGATAAAACAAAATTAATTAAATGCTACAGTAAGAAGCAATGGTTTCAAAGATAATTCTACCTCCATTAAGAAAGTTT